ATGTTGTGCTGGATTGCTTTGGTTCCCTTGGGTGCTTCTCATTTATTCTGTGTGTGCAATGCAGGTGATTCTGGGAGCATTCTGGGACTCTTCCTTTCAGATTCCTGTGGATATGCACTGCAAACAGTGGAAACTCAATCTGAGCACAGCTGATGTTTTCTGAAATGCAAAGCACACAAGTGCCTCGCTGTTCCTGCAGTTGTGTGTGCACCTGGGATGGCAAATATCAGTGGCTGCTCTTGTCTTCTGCGACAGCACTGCTGCTTTTGTGCCTGTAAACTCCTGAGGCTGAAAAGTTGTGGCTGGATTCTTCCTTTGAGCATTATTCATTCTGTCCATATATATCATGTGTTTCTCTTGTTATCTGCTTAGGGTTCCATGCTCAAAATTGGCTGAATTAGTTGTGCATTTGTTAAGTTCCCTTTTGTTTTGGAGAATGTGTACCATGTCTTCAGGAAGCTTGAAGGAAAAACTGGAGAATACAAATAATTAAGTATTGTCAGTGTTGATGTAAAACATAAGTCAGAAAAAAATTTGATAGCATTGTTTAAGTAACTTCTCATAAATGTGTAAGATTCTCATTAGTCCAACATCAGAAGTCTAATGAATATTAATGAATGAGATCAAAGACATTTAGAAATCAAAGCAATCATTTTTAAGAATTATATAAGTTTTTAACTGCACAAAAATATGAATCATCCTAATGATATGACTTCATGAGAAGTTTTTCTTGAAAATATTTTTCCTGAAAATTTTCGCGTTGAACTAGAAAGGCAAGTATGTAACATAAACCAGACAAATAGATACATCAAAACCTGAAATATTTAAAATGTCTTCATTATGCTGTATTGAAATACCTAAATTAAACTGTGGAGTCTAACAGGCTGGGAATTTTTACTTGGCCTGAGTCCATGATTTGAACTTGACTCAGACTGTCAACACAAATTGGTAAATATTGAGAAGGAAATTACTTTTGGATGTCTCAGACCTTTACTGTTTCCGTCTACATTTCTAGTACTTTTGGACTAAATGTATCCGTGCTGAAACATATACATACTGTAATTCTGTTAAAAAAGATGGCTTTACACATCATTTAATACATACAAGATTTTGATCATCAAATATCAGAGTATGACCAGAACTGTCTTCATCTCATTATCTGCTTTTCCAAATCTTATCTAGAACCAGCATGTGGTGTGACCTGTGTACCACAGTTATTTAATCTTTGAACAGTACATGCTTGTAATATAGCATGGGATATTCCAGCATCACAGTATGGTGTGAGTAAATCTTCTAAGACTGGGGGAAATAATTTGAACAATTTATTAAATATTACTTTTCATTTATCTTTACATTTTTTTTACTATCATTCACTTAATTATTCTTTTATTTCACTAAAAATAAAAAGTTAATTTTTCTATGAGGTGGTGATCTAAAAATCAAAATAATAGATGCAAGGCATGAGTTTAGGCATCTTTCATTTTTATTCCTGAAATTAAAGAAAACATATGTGTATAATTTTCTTTGGAATTTGTGATGATTTTAATGCATTTAATCCACAAAGGCCCTAATGGTGCTATAACTCCAAAGGCCCCACTCCCCTGGTGCAACATGGAGAGCGTTGTGCTCATAAAGCACCCGCTCGCTCTGGGCAATAGCGACATTATTTGACAGTTTGTGATTCCTACGAACTTTAATGGCAAAGAGGATCCTTCAAATACTGTCAGAGAAACAGTTTCATGTTGAACTTGGATATAAAGCTAATGGTATCTAACAGCTTTTAGTGTCACTGAATCAAATTCCTCAAGTAGAAAGAAGGGGTGACATTCTGTTTTAAAGTGACCGTATGTTTGACCCAGTTTGGCGATGGCGGTGTCATCACAATTGTATCTCGCTGCTGTAGGCTCTTGCAGCCTGACAGGCGGAACAAGTTGCTTTAGCTCACAGAGCTCATCTGTCACACTGAGCAGCTTGCAGCTTTCTGTTATCTGAATGAAATGTGGAGCGAGGACTTCTCCCTGCTGCCTGCCTATCAGCATAGTCAGCAACCTGCTCACACCCCACTCACATGAAATGAAATGGTAGAAGAGAGAATTAAAAAAACTATTTCCAGAGATGCAAATGTAAGCCACATTTAATAATTAAATGACATGTGGTTCAAAAATAATAATTAAAAAAAGCATGTACAGGAACTCGAAGGAAAGTTAATTTCCAAAGAAGAACTACAGTTTCCTTATCTGAAATGAGAGATGGAAACTTTTAATTGTATATTTAAGACCCAAAACTAAGAACAGTTTTATAATTTGGTAGGGCAGTGACAGGCATCTCTTTTTTCATCACGAGCACTTACTTAGCATTTGAAGTGTTCAAACCTTTATCGAGATTTTATTACATTTTCCTAAAATAGTGCATCTAGAATTTTGTACCTTAGGCCAAATCTTGCCATAATCTCTACATTCTTTGTAGTTCTGTGATAGGAGCAATGTTAGGGCACTGAGTTTGTGCTGGTTGCTCTTTGAAGTTCATATGTGACTGACTTGGCTGCTTTATTGTTGCAATGACCAATTTTTACTTGTTCTGAGAATATTGGCAAAAGGTGCACAAACCATAATTCTTAGTAAATGCTGATTAGTGTTTTTTCCTATGTTAAGCATAGGAAGAAATTCTTCTAGCCTGTTATGTCCAGTTTTAAAAATATTTTTACTAGAGTAAAATTTCCAAATAAAACTTCAGCCAGTAACAACTACTAAGTGGTTTCTGTTTGTTACAATAATAATAATAATAATAATGATTGTGGCAGTCCACAAACAAAATGATTCACAAGTGACACATGTCAGGAATGCCTTCTGTTATTCAAAAATGAGATAGATTATAGCTGGGGAGAAACCTGTTAATAATGTTTTATTCAGAGGGATGCTGTACAACATTATTCAAAAGGAACACACCAGTTGGAATTTTCATCGTGGAAATGATGAGCTGAATCACCCCAGTCTAATGGAAAATAGGACTATGGAATGTGTAGTGTGAATGTATGAATTAGGAAGATATTTATACCTTTGGATTTTGCAGCTTCAGTGGAATAGAAAGGGTCGTTCTGTGATCGATGGATTTGTGGCGAATTGCACAAGATCTGAGAAAATGAGGATTGCATTTATCACATCTAAGGGGAATGTCAAAGTGTGTGTCTGCCCATAACCCCATCAGTGGTAAAATGATGACAATGTGCCTTTGGGAGATACCAATCAATATGACTGTTGTAAAGCTCAACAACGACTGATTTCATTCTATCTGATGAGCTCTGGGGGTGCCTTAGAGAGCTATGGAAAGGGAAAAACAAAAACATCACGTTTGTACCCAAGACCTGCTTTGCAAAGGTTTGAAAAAAGTCTCATGAAAATGAAATGGGACATAATGTTCTAGGTTTGAAAAATTAGATAAAGATGTTCAGCTGAATTCTGTTCATCTGGTCATTATAGACAGCACAGACACACTAAATAATCATTGAGAGCATGACACAGAACCAGAATGAGTGTGCAGTGAACTTTCCAGAGTGCAGTTAGTTGGGAAAACCAGTAGTTCTTGGTCTCCTTAAAAAAAAGTAAAAAAAAAAAAAAAAAAAAGAAGTTGATGATAATTCATTCAGAAAGCTCACTGGTTTGTTCAACAGAAATAAATCCTATGATTTCTGACCAGAATAAATCATTGGCAATGTCACAGATGAAGAATATCCAAAACAAGCTTAGAAGTAAAATGCAAGAAATGTAAGTTAACAAGAACATTTTAAACAGCAGAAAACTGCTGCTTCTGTCACAAAACCTGTAACATATAAAGGCTAAAATATATTTTGTATATTGTTTTTCTTTTCCCAGTAAGAACACTGAATCAGATTTTCTGTGGACAAGAGTGAGGGATTTCTGAGGGAATAACCCAAATGCATGCTGATAAAAACATGCATATATAATGTATATAGGCACACTTAAAATCTCTAAAATATTTTCAGCAGTGGTGAAGACAAAAGCACCTGAAATCTGTGGTGGTATTTCCTAACTCTGAAGTTCCTAGCTAAAAGATCTGCAGCTTTGTTCCTTCACTTGACCTGTTTTTGTGTGAATGGGTATCTTACTCCTTATGTAGCCAGCTCTTGCTAGTCTAAATAATTTGAAGAATCATTATCATTTAGGTGCAGTTCTGAAATTAAAGGAGGGAAGAGGGTGAAAGTGGGAGTTTTTTTGGCAGCAGCAACAAAGTGCAGACAAGAAGTAATTCTCCAATTTTTCCAGGAAAACTGAAGGAAAGACTCAAACAATTTTGGTTTTGCAGAAATTTGTGTTTCTTTTTGTGCTAAACTTAGATAAAAATTGTACCTAGGGTTATGAGGTAGAGATTCATAGTTGTACAGATCAGAAGAGATCACTGAAGTTCTCCCTTTGAACTCCTGCATGGGGAATGTAAATGTCTCTCATTTCCCTCGATGGAGGCTGGTAAGGCTCGGCTGAAGTGGATCTGCTGGAAAGCTTCTCTTCATTTGGAGAGACTGACAGGGTTCAGTGCCCACTTCCTTTGGTAGTTAGTTCTACCTGTTTGTTAATCATCTTCCACATTAAACTTGGGGTTGTACAAGTTGATCTTTTGTCTGTGTTGAGTTGTCTTGCTGGCATTCAGGGCAGTCCCTTTTAATTTCTGTGACAAATTGGCATTGGCCAAAATTGCCTCAGCCTTGGCTCCCCTGTCCATGTACAGGACTGCTGGATGAGTTCAGTGTTAGCGACCAAACAGTGGGGTCATTAAAGCAGTAGAGGGAAGCAACATCTGTTTGTACAGACTTTTACCATACAGTAGTAGCTGTACCAAATAAATATGATTATTAATGTATAGGCCAAACATGTATTTATTATCCCTTTGTAGTCTCAAATTACAGAAAGAGGATACTCTAAAGGTAAGTGTATTTCTTACATTGCAGTGACAAGCATTGCCTTACACCCTTTGTGTTAAATTCACAGATCTGCATACAGAGATTGAAGATAAAGCTGACAGGACAACTTCTTTAGCCACCTGGCTTCACTGTCAGAAAAAAAGGGTGAGTGATAAAGGGAAAATGTAAAGAAAGTTGATATCTGGAAGTTGATATGCTGAGAGTCTCCAAATCTTAGAGAATAAGTGCTGACTTCTGCTTTGTTCACAGTGGTTAAGTTGTGCTGGTGTAGTGATGTTTGCAAAGATTAATGCCAGTGTATTTAAAAATAAGTGTAGTGGTCCTGTGTCTGCTCCCTTGATTAATAATGCCAGGTGGGAAAACCAAGAAAATTGAAAGTGACTTTTTAATGGTTCTTCTGAATTTGCATGAGGCTTGCTTATGTAGTAGTGCGCATCAAGGATTTCTGTGGAAAGCAGGAAATTAAGATAGATAAGGCTGCATAACTTTGTGGATTTTCACTGTGTATTGAGTGGATAAATACCTAAAATTTAGGTAGTAGAGCATAATAGTTATCTGTGTGTATAATAGCACAATAACTTTAGTCTTTTAAGATAATTCAGCATTCTGTACTTGCTCATAAACGTATAACATAATTGCTCTTTGATTAATAGCTAAAGTAGAAATAGGGTGGCTTTTTTGCTAAAAAGAGACTGGATGTTATATCAGGAAGCCTGACAAAGACCCATTTTCATCAATAAGCTATTTTGCTGAGTTTCAGGTATCCCATAAGCTTATATTTGTTTCAGCAACTTCATCTTTTCATTTTTCACTTCACCTTTTTTTGTTGTCACATTCAGAAAGTTGAACTAGGATAATTAAAGCAGCCTGCAACATAAAAGAAAGATGTAGAAATTCAAGATAGTCACGTTATGCAGTGAAATTTAAATTGATATGATTTTGTGTTGTTATAAATTGTAAATCACTGTGATCAACTGTTTAAATACCAGTTAAATACCAGATTTGTATAGCCCAGAAGAAGCAAATGTGTGCTATGCTGTGGTGTGAATTTGCTTTTTTTTTCTGATCATGTTTGCCTTTTATGACATGGTACATTAATTTTTAATATATATAGGCAGTTGAGCTGTTAATACATAAAAAACATATAAGAAAAAAGAGATTGGAGCAAGTAAATATTTCTAATAAATAAAAGTGTTTTCAAAGGAAAACATTTAAGAGAAGCTAGAAAGTGGAGGTCTGTATGTGGCAGCAGCACTCTGTGGGTTTACAGCTGTTTGTACCTGTCTAATCTTCTTTTTACCTGAAGTTATTGTGGTAACTGTGGTGTTGCCTGCCATAGCTGATCTTGAACCAAATAGCCTCCTTATAATTATCTCTAATTTAGATAGATTTGGCTTTCATTTCATACTCACACATGCACACACCCAGAGTTCTTTCTCCTGCTCTTTATTTGGGAACAGGCTGAATGTGTCCTTTCGATCGCTTGCAGTACCTGCGTCCTTTAGGTGCCACATCTGCACAGCTGCTGTCAGGTGCTGTTACCCACATTCATTGTCAGACTTGCTTTTCCTTGGAGAAATCCTGGCAGGAGGAAAATTCTCTGGAGAGGAGGTGCTGAGTAATTCTGCCCTCAAATGAGCACATTTCTTAGATGCTCCAGTCATGTGGATAGAAACTCACCAAACCTTTGTTGTGAACTGGTGAACACGAGCCAGCTCCGTCCTGATGCTGCTGTCTCACCCTTTTAGCTCTGAGTTCAACTCAAGCTGCTATGATTTGCCCCTTAGCATTGGCTACTGGTCTGGGTTTGATGTCAAACTAAGAGAATTGTGCAGCTTTTCTTCGGATTGAAGAGGCAGTTTAGGTCTGTCCTTTGTGTGTTGTGGGATGTTAAGCACAGGGGCTGGGTGAGCAGAAAATGGCAGTGAAGCGTCTGGACTGCAGAACCTTGTCCTTGGCTGTAACGCAATTGCACGTGGTGATCTCTGTGGCTCGTTGAGAGCCTGATTGCTTTGCTTTTGAGCCCTGAGCAGCCCTGGTGAACTGAATCAATTTATCGCTTTGTGAAAACATGTGGCTTGAATTCCTGATTCTCTGGGCATGTTTGAGCTGATATTAGTCTGGCTCCAGACAGAGAAAACAGGAGCTCTGAATGGAACTTAGAGAAGAAAGGAATGAAGGGTCTCTCCTTCTGTAATTCTATGATCAGTTCAAGTAATCAGCAGAGGAAATAAGAATTACAACATTTCTCTTTCTTGTTGGTCATTTTTATAATGTGGAATGTATATTTAGAATCGTTTAGGTTGGAAAGACCTTTAAGATCATTGCGTCCCACCATTAGCCAAGCACTGCCACTAAACCATGACCCTAAGTGCCACATCTGCACATTCTGTATTTGAATATAGGATGCTGGTGTACTTAGAATGTATGAAATATGGGACTTGCTTATCATGTCATTGAGAATTAATTTTATGTACTGTCAGTTTTAAAATAGTCTCAGATTTTTCAGATGGAGGAAGAGTGAATAAAGTAAAAAAAAAGAATAATAAAACCTTAATCACTGGCACATCACAATCTGGAGGTAACAGTACTATTTATTAGGTGGAAAGATGGAAAAGTTCCATTTGCAAAGCAGCACACTATGTATTCACATTTTTTTACTGCTTGCATTGCAGTGGGTCTAAATTTGATCAAGTATCTTTGTCATTGGGAGGCAATAAATGTTTTCCCCACTAATTGTTTCTAATGCATTTCTTTTAATTTATTGTGGACATGAGAGTTGGAAACACTGAAAGTTGCTCAGATTTCATGAAAGAGCTGGAGCAATGTTGCCTTGAAATAAAACAAGAGTGTTGAGTTCCTAGAGGAAGAAGTGTATTCCCTGAATGCATTTTTTCCAAACCAGCTCTTTCATATGTCCGAGATTTTTAAGATAATTTTCTCTAGTATTTGTTTACTTGTAAGATGATTGACTTTAATATTTTTCTGGGACCATTGTATATCAGAGGCATCGGAGGGTTATATACATAGACTTTGAAAATATAATTACATTGACCAGCATAGATTTAATTTTTTTAAGTAAGTTATCTGAATTTGGAAGCACCTAACTTTGGAAACCTGCTATGTCCTGTAGAAAGAAACATGGTAGAATGGGAGTGTGTAGTTAATGTGTCCTTTTTAAAGAGAATATTCGTAGTACCAGAATACCAATTACTTTATTGGCCCTGCAGAAGAACTGGAAGGTGATTGCCTGAATTAAGGTGACATTGGGCGGGAGTGTGATCGAATTGAAGCTCCCTCTTACCAAACACAATTGGTAAGCCCTTAGAATCTCCAAATAAATACTTGTGCTTTAAGGTCAGTCCAGACCTCGTGGATTGCTTTTCCTTTCCCTGATAAAAGCAGATGCAAGCATGCCAAATTGCTTTGCTCCGGCTTAACCCCAGCACTGTTTGAATTCATAAATGCTACAAAAGGAAAGCTTATTACCGCATGCGACGGTGAAGTGGGGAAATGTCATGCCTACCTAATCTATTTCCTGGGAAGGGGAGAAAAATCTTTTTATTCTTTTACTAAGACCTGGGGAATAAAGTAAGGACTGGATGTGATGCTGATAATCAAGGATTGTCTTTCTTTTTCTGAATTGCTATCAACCCTGTATTTTCTGTTGTCTCTATTTTCTCAGAAATGAGACAGTAAAGGAACTTTTTTCTGTATTGAATAATATACTGTATTTAAATAGTTTTTATTTTTTACACTTATTTTACTTATTTTTTTACTATTAAGCGGCTGTTTCTCTGAAGCTCTTGCTTTAAGGATAGATTGTTCAAACACTGACACATCATTTAGCAGATGAAACAAAGCAGTGCTGCATTTGGGCTGTATATGGTAACTATAGCAGTATTAGAAAGGGCATCAATGGGAGCTTTGCTCTGAATTGATAACAAGTACATAGTTTTAAATAACTTGGACAAGAACAAAACACTCCTAAAATAGAGTGCTTGAGGGGAAAGTAGGTTTTCACACTGTAAACAGTGTTCTTTGAAAGCTGGGAGAAGGAAAAAAAATACTGTAGCACAGTACTGTAGTACAGTAAGTTAAATCATTACGTTAATTGAACATTTGTCTATTTGCAGGTTTTTTTTTTTTTGGATGTCAGTAAGATGAATGGTTGAGAAAGGAAGTGAAAGGGAAGTAGTAGTGGGTAAGGTTCAAAACAAAGGAATTAACATTCTTAGGGTGTAAATTGTGGGTAATGTGTTAAGTTCACTTTCCTGAAACTGGTTTAGTGGTGTAAACTGCTACTTGTAATTGACTTAGCAAATCTACAAACACAACTTTTATGATAATATATTCCTCAAGTTTTGAATGAGGATGACTGACATCTTGTGTTCTATCAATGAATCTTATTTTGTTTCATCATAAATATTTCACAAAATTTTACTTCATTGTAAAGTTGAAATTCTGCATAACAGGTGTTGAATCCTTTTCTTTTGGAAGGTAGTGCTTAAACCTGAATGCCTCTCATTGTGGTTCTAAGCCTAAAATCGGGCAGATACTTTTAAAGCTATTTAGTAGACAGTCTATCAGCCCAATGAGATACTGACAGGATTTTATAGGATGCAGATGGTGGAGGAAAATGTACTATTTCACTGTTAGCATTTTGTTTCTGATGACAATCCAGTTATTAGGTTGCTGGTTTTCTCACAAAACATAGCATGTGGCTACCTAATTAGATTGCTTTAAAGCCTGTTGGAAATGCTGATATGTTTCTTATAATCCTTTTGCCTTGGATTGCTGTTGTTAAAGGCTAACTTCCCAGTCTTGAAAAAAAGGCTTGTTCACTGGGCTAAACATGAAAAATGCATTATGCTTGATGTTCTGCTTGATGCTCTTGGTTAAAGTGTAATGTGCAACAAAATTCTCTCTGTACCGTGTGTGGCTCTCGAAGCTGTAGCTGCTGGGCAATAATGGCAAAAAGGTGCTCTGATTACAGTTATAAGGACTCTACTTAATCATAGTTGGTAAGAGATTAAACTTTAATCATTCAATTAAAGCTTTTGGTGCAACTTTTTTTAAAAGAATATCAGTAGTGAAAAAACTTGGTCTGGGTAAGTGTGTGTTATTTGACACTGCAGATAGCA